TGGAAGCAGAAGTTCGCAAAACAGGAGTAGAAGTTGGCATAGTTATGTTATATCTCTAATGCGGATAGTATATAAACTTCGGCATATGGTTGTCTTGTGCTACATGAGTTGCCAATTAAGATATTCACTAGCAGGGCATCGTTAAGATTTTGTTGGAATATTTTTTTACGACCGTTTTATTGCAGCTATTATAGTATTCCATACATTACTGAAAAAATAATCCATACATTCCTGAGTTTTCACATTTTTTTCTTTGCCTCCCTTGCTTCCTTCCTCTTCCGTTGTTTAGAACCCACAAAATCATAATGGTACGAACCTTCTTAACATCTACTCCCTCCATCCATATATATAGGGCCTAATGCATTTTTTGATATTACCTTTGACTATTGCTAAGATTAAATGTATGAGATATATAATATGAAAATTATCTCATTGGAACCTTTCACGTACAAATTTGATGGTATGATTCGTGTAACTTGCATGTCATATTTTGCTGCTCTAATGTGTGATCAAAGTTAGCATCGAAAAACACATCAGACCCTATTTAGATGGATAGAGGGAGTAACATAATCCTACAAAAACTAATAATCAGCTTAAATAACTTATCCATCAATAGCTAACATGCTCGCATCAAAATAAACCAAACAAAGATATGCACAATCATATCAATTTCAGGTTTCAAAATCCAGGTCAAACATGATTCATGGCTATGATAATTGTATCACATGATTGAAATATTACCCTTACATATAGTGTGATTTATATCACACGATCAAACTACTACTACATTTACATACAGTTGCATCCATCATAATATTATAGTGCCAAAATAGATGGACATAGTAGCGCGCACCTACAACGGAGTAGTATCTTTTTTTTCCCTGGTTTAGCTTATGTGCTATCAGGTTGGCTTTCTGGAGTCTTTGTGGTTGATGGTTTGAAGTCGAGTAAGTATTTTAATAAAATTTTAAAATCCATTAATATGAACAGATAAATCATGGACTAACTTATTAAAATGTTTCTATCCTGTTGCAACGGTCCATTAGAGCAACTTCAATGGGGCGACCCATTTCGTCCGTGGCCGTTCGTTTGGGTTGGCGCAGACGAAAAAGCGGCCCAACGCGCCGACCCAAACGGACACGCGTCTGTTTTTTGTCCGCGGGCGATCCATTCTCGACCCATTTTTGAGTCTGATTTGCGTCAGCGCGGACACGCGATGGACGCGTGCGCGGTCGCCTACTCCTGTCCCTGGGCCCGCTGGTCTGTGGCACATTGGCCTCCCTCCACCCAGCCAACAAGCAACCCTCGCCCCCTGCCTCCTCCGTCACCGACGCTACCGCCCACGCTACCGCCCATTTTTGCGGCGACTCTTCCAGTTGCCGCCGCCTCCACATCCGCCCAGCAACGCCGCCCCTGCCCCCAGCCGCCCGCCGTCGCCGGGGAGCAAACTAGTTCCCGCCGCCGGTTTCCACACCGCACAGCCGCCCCGCGACCAAGAAGACGCCTCACCGGCCCCGCCACATACGACCGGCACGCTAGTCGGACGTCGTCACACTCGTCGGATGCCGGCAGGGCAGCTGGCCGGTCTGTGGGTGACACGTCTCCCCTCGCCGGCCGTCTCCTTCTTCAACGCCCGCAAGTTGTTCGACAGTTTGCCAAGGTACAAAAATGGACTCCGCCAACGAGTTCTTTTTCCACAATTTCATTTGCGACTCCGACGATTCTTCATCCAACGACGAGGAGGAGATATTGGCTGTCGTGTTGGTCCATCACCACCTCAACAACCAGCGGACGTTGTTCCGTGGCTCCATTCCGGGCCACCTTCCGACGTTGAATCGTAACCGAGAGAGCGGGCATTTCCTTCTCTGGAGGGACTACTTTGATACAACAAACCCATTGTTCAAACATCACAAATTCCGTCGCCACTTCCGTATGAGTAGGCATGTTTTCAACCGTATTAGAGAGGGAGTGGTCGGCTATGATGACTACTTCGAGTGCAAAGAGTATGTCGTCGGCAAGATTGGTTTCTCCTCTTATCAAAAAATGCACTGCGCCATCCGAATGCTTGCATACGGAGTGCCCGGTGATCTCATTGACGAGTGTGTCTGTATGTGCGAGTCTACATGCGTAGAGTCCCTGTATAAGTTCTGCAAGGATGTGATTGCTGTGTTTGGCCCTGAGTACTTGAGAGAGCCGACAGCTGCAGATACAGCCCGTTTGTTGGCGATGAATGCTAGCAGGGGCTTCCCGGGGATGCTTGGCAGTATAGACTGCATGCACTGGGAGTGGAAGAACTGCCCTTCTGCTTGGCAAGGGTAGTATAAGGGACATGTCAGGGCTTGCACTGTCATACTAGAGTCCGTGACGTCTCAAGATCTCTGGATCTGGCACTCTTTCTTTGGCATGGCTGGATCACACAATGATATCAACGTGCTTCAGCGCTCGCCGGTGTTTGCTAGGCTTGCCGAAGGCAACAGCCCCCCGGTGAACTTTACTGTCAACGGCCACAACTACGACAAATGGTACTATTTGGGTGACGGTATCTATCCTCAGTGGACCACTATTGTAAAGACAATACCCAACCCCGTTGGAGAGAAAAGAAAAAGATTTACCCAAGAGCAAGATAGTGCTAGAAAAGATGTCGAGCGTGCCTTTGGTGTTTTGCAATCTCGACGGGGCATCGTTCGGTATCCTGCTAATACTTGGAGCACGCAGAAATTATCGGATGTGATGACTGCTTGTGTGATCATGCACAATATGATTAGAAGACGAGCGCCCGGAACGTCTGTACGATCAAGACTTTCAGTTTCAGGGTGAGAATGTTGTGCCTGAGCATGGAGTAGCGGCAACATTTGAGCGGTTCACTCAGTTTCATGAAGACATGCGCGATTGGGAAACTCACGTGCAATTGCAAAATGATTTGGTTGAGTATATGTGGACTCATGTTGGCAACCAATAGATGTATCTTCTTTTATTCGTTTGTAAAACTATGTGAAACATTTTTATTTATTTTTTGGCCTGTAACTATACTATTTATTTGGGCGGAATATTTTGTTTGTTAAATTTTTATTTCACAATATGTTGAATACAATGCAAAATTGAGCGGCCAGCCGGCCACGCCTGCACATATGGATCGGCGCGTTGGGCGCGCTGCCGACCCATATAAAAAACAGGACGAAGGTCGGACGGGCGGCCGACCCAAACAGACAAAAAACGAACGAAATCGCCGTCCGTTGGGTCGGCCCGTTGGAGTTGCTCTTATCTGGTTTTTAAAAAAATTACTGGTCATGACGCGGCAGGTACGTGGGAGGAGCTAGACTGAAGTACTGAACTGAACTAGCAGTACCACAATCAGCGAGTGGCATATGCAACAGCAGCTGAGTAGTAGTACTGGTGGGAAAGTATCTAGTGCTCCCAGGCCTAGGATGCTCCCGGTGCTTCGATGCGAAAAACATTTTTTAAATATTTAAAAAATTCTAAAAAAAATGCAGCACATCGACGGAACATCGATGTCTTTTGTCACAAAATTTCATATCAAAATTCAAAACATTGCTTGAGATAAAAAATGATAAATTTGACATCAATGTAATAATGAGCCAAAACTAAAGCCCAACATATGTTATGTATAAAAATTTGTCATTTTTGTATCTCAAGCAATGTTTTGAATTTTGATTTGAAATTTTATGACAAAAGACATTGATGTTTCATCGATGTGCTGCATTTTTTTTAGAATTTTTTGAACATTCTAAAAATGTTTTTCAAACATTTAGAGCATCAGGAACACCCCAACCCTGAAAGCACTAGATACTTTCCCTAGTACTGGTAGATCTGAGTTTTGCTACAGTTACGGACTCAATTATATGGACTACAACCTACAGGCTGATGTGTGTACGGCCGATTGAATATCAGGGGAGCCCGCAGTTGAAGTCAGAGGGACGGGGGAGATTAATGTGGCGACACGTAGTCCCGTACGCCTTTTTCGTGACTATTTGCCCGTAAGTCTAGGATTTTCGGGTAGATCTTGCTGGTGAGGCTGCCGGGCAAACGCGTCAGTTTCCGCGAAGGCACGGAGCTCAGGGACAGGTGTCCCACCACTCCCGTCGCTCGCAATCGCACCGGCGTTTATTCCGTCCGCCCGTCACTGTCACGGGTCCATGACCGTTCCTCCCTCCGCGTTTGCAGGTGCAGGTCGTCGTCCACTAGCGAGAGTTGCTTTGAATATTGAACGCGGCGATTGGCCAATGAAGATGGTCATCATACGCCATGTCCAACTTTCCTTGCACCTGGCCGGATGGAAGGCTCGGATGGTAGAATTTTCGTATCTTCAGAAGTTCAGACATGTAGGTGCCGCATCTGGTCTGCGGCTGTGCTCGGGAATAATCTTGCTTCCCGAAAGGGATTAATTTGGTAAACCAGGCAAATCAGAAGCCTTTGATGGTTGAATCTGATTGCTCCGTGGTGCGCGTCTTCACTTCCAGTAGAAATGGTGTGAATCCTACCATAAAAGCTATACATAAAAATAATACTTCTTCTATAAAAAAATATAAAAGGTTTAGATCACTACAAAAAGAGTGATAGTATTGTTATTCCCTCTATAAACTAATATAAGAGCGTTTAGATTACTAAAATAATGATCTAAATACTTTTATATTAATTTACGGAGGGAGTAGTTGCGACCACAATACCTGAGCTTATGTAAAGTATTCGTTATGTTGTTAACTGAACAAGAGAAATGATCAAATGAAAGACTCAAAGGAGAGCGAAAGGTTTGATGATTGACTCCCCATCCCAGTTGACCTGCGTTCTGGCTCCAGCTGCACATCCCTTCACCTGCCCGCCGCCACCCATGGAAAAACTGTAGAAGCGACGACCTTTGACTCCGTCCAACCATCTCACCACACATTACCCGACCGACCGAGCACGGCACACCCCCATCCCTGGCGTGCCCACTCATCATCGTTTGACTCCTCATCCCCTTTCCAAGAAGCGCAACCGAAGCAATGCCCGCTCCGACGCGCCCGCGCGGGCTCGCCGCCGCCGGCAGGGCGGCGCTCGCGCTCCTCGTCCTCCTCGCCGTCGCCGCGCCTCGGTGCCGCGTCGCGCGCGCGCAGCAGCAGTACGAGGCCAACAAGCAACTCAACTGCTACGGCACCAACGACAGCTCCGTGCTTGGCTACACCTGCAACGCCACCGCCGCGGCCCGCCCCTGCGCCTCCTACGTCGTCTTCCGCTCCTCCCCGCCCTACGACTCGCCCGTCACCATCTCCTACCTCCTCAACGCCACCCCGGCCGCCCTCGCAGGCGCCAACGCCGTGCCCACCGTCTCTCCGGTCGCCGCCTCCCGCCTCGTCCTCGCGCCGCTCAACTGCGGCTGCGCGCCCGGCGGCTACTACCAGCACAACACGTCCTATACCATCCAGTTCAGCAACGAGACCTACTTCATCACCGCCAACATCACCTACCAGGGCCTCACCACCTGCCAGGCCCTCATCGCGCAGAACCCCAACCACGATAGCCGCAAGCTCGTCGTCGGGAACAACCTCACCGTGCCGATCCGCTGCGCGTGCCCCTCGCCGGCGCAGGCCGCCTCCGGGGTCAGGCACCTGCTCACCTACCTCGTCACGTGGGGCGACGGCATCGCCGACATCGCCGCCCGCTTCCGCGTCGACGCCCAGGCGGTGCTCCACGCCAACAACCTCACCGACAGCGAGAACATATACCCCTTCACCACTCTGCTCATCCCGCTCAAGAGCGAGCCCACGCCGGACATGCTCGTGTCGCCGGCGCCACCGCCAGCACCGGCGCCACCGCAGGCCCAGCAGCCGCCGCCGTCTGGAGGGTCGGGCAGCGGGAAGGGTGTTGCCGTCGGGGTCGGTGTTGGTGTCGGCGTTCTTGCGCTGGCGGGACTTCTTGGCCTGATGTTCTTATGTGTCCGGCGGCGGCGGCGACCGCGGCCAGGCGTTGTGGAAGACGGTCATCCAGGGAAGGGCGTTCTGGACGTGCCCTCGTCTGCCGATTACGACCCTCTTGCCTCGGGCAAGCATACGTCCTCGGCTACGACGAACTCCTCGTCATCGTCGGCGTTTGTGTCCACCGACGCGCGCGCGGCGGTGGAGTCCCTGACTGTGTACAAGTACTCGGAACTCGAGAAGGCGACGGCAGGGTTCTCGGAGGACCGGAGGGTCAAGGACGCGTCCGTGTACCGCGCGGTGATCAATGGCGACGCGGCGGCCGTGAAGCGTGTGGCCGGCGATGTGAGCGGCGAGGTGGGCATCCTGAAGCGCGTGAACCACTCCAGCCTCGTCCGCCTCTCCGGTCTCTGCGTCCACCACGGCGACACCTACCTCGTCTTCGAGTTCGCGGAGAACGGCGCGCTCAGCAACTGGCTCCACGGCGGCGGCGACACCCTCGTGTGGAAGCAGCGCGTGCAGGCGGCGTTTGACGTCGCCGACGGTCTCAATTACCTCCACCACTACAGCAACCCGCCGTGCGTGCACAAGAACCTCAAGAGCAGCAACGTCCTCCTCGACGCCGACCTCCGCGCCAAGGTGTCAAGCTTTGCGCTGGCGCGGTCGGTCCCCACGGGCGTTGATGGCGGCGACGCGCAGCTCACCCGCCACGTCATTGGCACCCAGGGGTACCTGGCCCCGGAGTACCTGGAGCACGGCCTCATCACGCCCAAGCTCGACGTTTTCGCCTTCGGCGTCATCCTCCTCGAGCTGCTGTCCGGGAAGGAGGCGACGTTCGACGGCGGCGCCAAAAGAGGGGAGACGCTGCTGTGGGAGTCCGCGGAGGGGCTGGTCGTCGACGGCGAGGACGCGCGCGGCAAGGTGCGGGCATTCATGGACCCGCGGCTGAACGGCGACTACCCGCTGGACCTCGCCGTCGCCGTGGCGTCGCTGGCGGTGCGGTGCGTGGCGAGGGAGCCCCGGGGGCGGCCGTCCATGGACGAGGTGTTCGTGACGCTGTCGGCGGTGTACAACTCCACGCTGGATTGGGATCCCTCGGATTACAGCAACTCCCGCTCTTCGATCGTCGGGAGATAGTATAGGAGTACTCAGCAAAGGTGTCTTTTCTGTTATGGACAGATTATTTTGTGCAGGGCAAAATCACTTTCTTTTTAGTTGAAGAGTGCAAACTCACTTGATGTGTAATCTGCTGGTGTAACGAGAGTAAATGTGATTCGAGTCATGTATAGTACTTCATTTCAATATTTTTTTTCGAAAGTACGCCAACAGCATACCATATTTTTATAGAAGAAGAAGAAAACATGATTACAGGAAGTGTGGTTTAAATGCGAACATCCGGCACACACGGATACACCAACACCAACACCACCCAGTCTACAGCTAAACTAACTCCTCATAAAACCTTGTAGACCACCAACACCATCTACCGCCTGCGACCACTCGGCTACCTCAGTTAACGTACAAATAACAAGCTCCATGGGATTTTTTTGTTGATCTATCCTATTAAAGACTCTTGCATTTCTCTGTTTCCACAGAGTCCATAGAACCGCCGTGACTGTGGTGTCGAAACCTCTCCTGTCCGCCCATAGAAAGCTTTTTCGTGCTCGTAGCCACCATTCTAGGGTATTCTCATTAGCGAGTGATTGAGGGGTGTCAATCTGCAGGGTGTCCCATGTCCTATACCAGACCTCCCGAGCGTACAGACACTGTAGGAGAATATGATCAGCATTATCCTCAGCCTGCAAACACGTGTAGCATGCAGAACTCCCATCTTGAAGCCCATGCCCAGCCCTCCTGTCTGACGTCCATATCATGTACTGCATTGCAAGCCAAACAAAGATTTTGCACTTAAGAGGGCCCCAGCTTTTCCAGACACACTTTGCCAGGAGGGATTTAGGCCATCCATTGCAGAGGCTGGAATAGACTGACTTGGCCGAGTATTGTCCAGACGATGAACACGTCCATTGAAGGCATCCTGCTCGGTCGGACGTCTGCGCACAGTCGCCATCGCATGGCAGAGATGCATGCATTGCATTTGAGCCATGAAAGATATCTCAATTTGACAATCCTCCATCCATTTGTTGTTAAGCAATGCCTGCTGCACCGTTCTGGTATTAATCACCCTCGCCTGGACCGTCATAAGCAGGAGAGGAGCAATGTCAGCTACTGCATATCCGTGTATCCACTTGTCCCGCCAGAACAGAACGCTATCACCCGTGCCAACTTGAGTATGAACCAGACTATCGAACACCTCCCTCGCCAATCTGTCCTAGACCATTGGTAGACCCTACCAAGGCCTCGTTGGCTCCGTACGCTTTAGCCATTCCCACCTGACCCTTAGAGCCAAAGATTGAAGTTGCAAGTTCTTCACTCCAAGCCCGCCGTGGCACTTAGGTCGACAGATTTTGTCCCATGCAACGAGGCATTGCCCACCGTTAACCTTGTCCTTGCCAGCCCAGAAAAAGGATCTCATCCACTTGTTGATCTCCTCAAACACCCAGACAGGGGCTTCCACAATCATTAGGTGATGGATCGGCCTAGCAGAGATGATAGACTGCACCAGGATCAACCTTCCAGGTCATTGAATCAAACCTCTTTTCCAGGCAGGGACGAAGTACCTCACTTTATCCAACATGGGTTGCCATTCCGCGCGAGTCAAGTTCTTGATAGCAAGTTGTAGGCCAAGGTACCTACACGGGAATTCCGTTAAGTCACACTGGAGTAGTGCAGCCACCCTTTGTCTGTCCTCCATGTCACCTCTAATCACTATGGCCGACGACTTCCGGTAGTTCACCTTCAGTCCAGAGGCTTCGCCAAAAGCTTTTAAAGTCTCCTTCACAAAGCCGAGATCCATGATTGTAGGTTTGATAAACAGGGCTATGTCATCAGCGTAAATAGAGATCCTTTGCATGGTCGTGATCCCATGGAACGAGCTTAGCACACGAGCCGCCATGGCTCGCTGAACGAGTCTAGTTAGGACATCCATTGCGATGAAGAAGAGCAGAGGCGAGATAGGATCCCCCTGGCGCAACCCGCACGCGTGCCCAAAGCTCTTCCTAGCCACGCCATTTACGATCACTTTGGTGGTTGCAGTTTGCAGCAAGATCGCCACCCAAGTCATCCATCTCGTACCAAACCCTTTGGCAGTCATGACTTCAAACAGGAACGGCCATGACAATGAGTCGAAAGCCCTCGAAATATCAAGTTTCAGGAACACTCCGGGCGATTTGCGTGCATGAATTCTCCTTACCACTTGTCTAACTAGGAGGAAGTTGTCATGGAGGTGCCAACCTTTGATGAAAGCAGATTGATTGGCTTCAAGGATCATGTGCATCTGTTTTCTGAGGCGGTTGGCAAGGACTTTGGCAAATAGCTTAGGCATGCTATGTGTCAAACTTATTGGCCTGAAGTCCCCAATTTCTTCCGCATCCGGTTTCTTGGGTATGAGAATAATATGCGCTTTGTTCAACTTCCCAAAACCCCTCCCATCTCCCACGTAAAGCTTCATCATGACGGCCATGACATCCTTCTTAATGATTGGCCATGCCCGTTGACAGAAAGCTGCAATGTATCCGTCGGGTCTAGGGGCACGATCGGGGGGGAGCTCCTTGATGACCTCCCAAACCTTCTCCTCTGTTATAATGTTCTCCAGCTCCCAGAGGTCATGGCTCTGCACTCGAAGATACTACAAGTCCAAGGTGTGCTCTCTTGCCGTAGCCTGCCCAATAATCCTCTCGTACGCTTGGAAAAATGGCTCCTCCTTCTGCTCCTGATCCGTGATGATGACTCTCTCTGTTTTTATGTGCGTGATGAAGTTCTTCGCACGGCGCCCATTCGCGAATGCCTGGAAGAGTTTTGTGTTGGCATCTCCCTCCTTCAACCACTTCATTCTCGATCGTTGGCGATCAATGGTACGCTCCAACGCAGCCAAACCTAGGAGGGCTTGCTTTAGGCTTCGGCGCAGCCATAGTTCCTCACGGCCCAACGTCTGTCGCTCTTGAGCTATGTCCAGCTTGTGAATCACCAAGTTAGCCACCCTCATCAACAACTTGACATTGCCAACCTTTTTCTGCGCCCACGCCTGCAAATAGCTCGCAGTATTCCTGAGCAGAGCGTCGAGTCTCTTGTACAGGTCCACCATGTCATCGCTGCACGTCCAGGCCTCCCTCACCGCCTCATCAAATCCTTCAAGCTTCGTCCAGAACAACTCAAACCGGAAGCGCCGCTTGGGGCAGAAACTAGCACTAGTCGTGAGAAGTAGCGGCGCGTGATCCGAGACCCCAGTGGAAAGTGCTTGCAGTAGACAGTCCGTGTTGTCGAGCTCCCAGTCCACTGTCGTGAAAACTCTGTCAATCTTTGTCAGGGTTGGTGTTTCCCTCTCATTGGACCACATGTATCTTCGTCCGTGCATGTACATTTCCTTTAGCTCATGATCATCCATGAAATCTCTAAATCTTCTCATCATCCTTCTATTTATGTTGGAGTTGCTTTTATCCTCAGCTCGTATGATCATGTTGAAATCTCCAAGCAACATCCAAGGCCCCGGACATCCCAAGCGACAGTCCCTAATCTCTTGCAAAAAGATAGTTTTACTGTCGTCACCCTGTGGTCCGTACACCACCGTGATCCACCAAGGATCCCCCATCTTGAGATGCACCCTGCCCGTGAGGAAGTTGGCATTGAGCATGATGCTGTCCACCTTAAGCATCGCACTATCCCACGCCAGAAGAATACCTCCACAAGTGTCCACCACCGGTACATAGGCAAAGCCATCAAACGACGGACCCAAGCATTGCATTACAACAAATTGGTCTATTACATCCATTTTAGTTTCTTGGAAACAAACCAAGTTAACTTTCACCGTTTGCACAAACTCCCTAACGGCCTTCCTCTTGGCTGGGTTGTTAAGGCCCCTCACATTCCAGCACAACACCTGCAGGTGTATATCCATGAAGGACATATACACCGCCCTCCAAGCTAGCTCTCTAGTGTGAGCATAGTACGACCGCATTGTTTCCCTCCATGTCCTGCACAGCTGGCACTGCCTTGCCAAACAGCCCCGCAATGATCCTGATATGTTGCTCCCGCAGCGGGGAGTCAAACAAGGCCTGAAGTTCATGCACCATCCCATCATCCACCACCATGTATTCTGGCACCATTCCATGCGCATGGAGTAGCACATTCTCTGTCGGGTTATCTCTGGTCCGGCTAGTGGAGGCCGTCTTCTTCGTTGCCCGAGTTGTGCGCTTGGGGGTAAAAGGTGTTGCCTCTGGCCTCAGCTTGACCGCTTGTATCTCCTTAAGTAGTGGCGGCGCCAGCTTCTTTATAATGTTAGAGCAAAAGCCCTTGAGCTTGCTGTACGCCACTACCTCTTGTGCAGTCATTCCCACCATCTCTTCCGGGCCACCATGTAAAATCAATGCTTGCTGCTCCGATTCCACATTCACTAGTGTAGTGTTTACGTGCCCATTTCCCGTGCATGGGGGCGTCCCATCATGCATGAGCGTGCATGCACCACCGATTGGGCGCTCAGCTTGGGAAGATTCCCTAAGCTCCTGTAGCTCGGTCCCATTCCCGCTGGCCACATCCGCTGCTTTGTCCTCATCCTCCATCGAATCTCCCCCATGCATGTCCTTATCCCCTTCCTTGGAGACTGGGTTCGGCCTCTCTGTGCGTGGATTGGTGGGTGCCACCTCCGCCATAGTGACCTGACGATGCCTGGGCTCCACATGCTCCCCACCCACACGTCCACCCAACAACGGTGGTTCCTTGGGATCGCCAACTGTCCGAGTCTCTGATCTGTCCAGCGGCATCACGGCCCCCACCGTATCAGCAGTCGCTATCCTATCTGATCCTCCAATGACCTGGCCCACCTGTGTTTCCGCGCATGTCCCTTCCGGCCACAAAGACTGCGCTGTCTCCACCTGCCCAACGGTCCTCTCCGGGCTGGCCATGGGCACAATGATTGCTACCAGCTGGCTCCC